ATGAAAATCTTTATCTCTGCTCCTGGGTATTAAGTTAACTAACTAAGTGCATAGTTATGATGAGCAAGAGTACCTCTACCAAAATTGTGAATTTTATGGCCCCAGGGTCAGGGGTTCACCGTTCTGGTGTTAGGGCGGGGCTCTATTGATTATATAGTGAAAATACATGAATTCTTTGAAAATCTTCTTCTCTGCTCCTGGGTATTAAATAAACTAACTAAGTGCATAATTTTGATGTGGCAAGAGTGCCTCTACTAAAATTGTGAATTTTATGGCCCCAGGGTCAGGGTTCGGGTGTTAGGGCGGGGCTCTATTGATTATATAATGAAAATACATGAATTCTTTGAAAAAATTTCTTTTCTGCTCCTAGGAATTAAATAAACTAAGTACATAGTTATGATGAGCAAGAATACCTCTTCCAAAATTTTGATTTTATGGCCCTAGGGTCAGGGGTTCTAGTGATAGGGCGGGGCTCTATTGATTATAAAGTGAAAATACATTAAAGCTTTGAAAATTTTCTTCTCTGCTTTTGGGTATGAAGCAGATGAACTACCTATGTAGTTATAATGAGCAAGGACCCTAATCTTCCAGAATTGTGAATTTCAAGGCCCCAGGGTCAGGGGTACCATAGGGGGGTGTACTTATATACTGAAACTGGATGAATTGTTTGAGATCTGCTCCTTGGTATTAATCAAATATTTTTGAAAAGCAAGGGTGCCTTTTCAAAAATTGTGCAATGCGTGGATCTAGGCCTAAGGGTCAGGGGTTCATGTGAGATAGAGGCATTACTGATTATTGCTGAATATTACTGATTACTTGAAATGCATTTTTTGTTCCCCCACCCTGCTTATGGGTATTTAGTAAACAAACTAAGCAACTGCTAAGTGTATTGTTATGATGATCAATGGTGCCGCTTTCAAAATTGTGAACGCCATAGCATCTGGCTTAAAACATGAATCAAATTAAATCACTGGAAAGTTGTTGCATAATGCTCAGGTGACCTATAAGGCCCATGGGCCTCTTGTTATCAAAATGTTATCAAAATATTGATATTTTCATTTCTTTAAAATATTGTTAGCCCCTAAAAATTACATATCCATTTTAGACCATATTTTTCATGTCCAGTGTAGAATACAGGAATGAGAAGTGTATGCATGGATTTAACTAAACATTTGACTCACTTCATCGAATAGATACGTCCATTTGGTGTATGCAAAAAGTTTTCTTATTCAGTTGATGGATGTTTAGAAGTAATAAAAAGCTCCGTAATAGCATGCGTCTTCTATGTACTAGTATTTCTATTTATTTACATTCAACTGCATGATTAAAAATCACAGCAACGAATAAGATGGTGGACTAATGACACAGCTTGCAGTTGCTTACGTATTTAAACATATGCACATTTATGTTATATCAGTTATAAAATATATCTATTCATTTTATTCTTGTAATATTTTGCTAGATTGTAGAGTTTTATTATTTCAAGTGTCTTTTTCTTCAGTAAATTTGCAAAAATATCTAATTAAAAAAATTAAACTAAATATTATAATTGAGAGAAAAGATTAAATGAAAAAAAATACGTTCAAATGATGACAGATTATATGCATACTTTGTCTAGAGGTACCATATTAACCTGGTTTGTCCTGATTTTCAGATCCCCCTGTCCAGCCCGCTTCCCCGTCTTACCAGGGAGGGGACGTCGCCAGAAAGATGGGTCTGAACGTGTCCCCCAAATACAAGGGATTCTACCGGTATGGTGCCAATTAAAGTCCTCACTTCCCGTCCATTGTAGAATGGAGAATTTATATCAGAACCATTCAGTATTTCTGACTTTTATTATTGCTCACATTTATGTATTTTATTTAAATTATACTTGTTTTGTTTTTAAAAAAAAAACTTTCTCAGTTTATTTATATTTTAATGTATTGTTCATATATGTTCAATAAAAAAGACATGTGATGAATTTAGGAATGTTTTCTGAGGTTACTAAGAAAGTTTATTAAAAATCTGTTAAGTGAAACGTTTTTAAAGTTTTTAAAAATTTGCAGTTCCGAAATGCATGCATGCATGCAGCATTAACGCAATGAGCATTTTTTTTTACATTATAAAAAATCTTGTGTATTGCAAACATTAACTTTAAAGTTATTTAATACTCAAAATCTACTACTCAGTTATATAACTCGTGAATACAAAACTTGAGTAAACCCATTGCTTTCTTAAGAAGAAATTAATTATCCTATACGTTTATGTGCTAATTTAGATGCACATGAAATATATAGAAATGACAAACGGTATTCTATCTTAAAAGTCCATTTAACAATACAAAAGAGCAGAGCAAACATGGACCTGTATAGAACATCAGAGGTTGGATCAGGTGCCATTGAGAAGTGAGAATCCCCTGCCAACCGGTCAAACTCTTATAATACAATATTTAGTGTCATGTATGAGCGTTAAAAAGGGAGAGAAAATAAATAGCATGTACTAGACATTTCAAAGATGCCCAGAACTATACGTGAAATCAATGTGTTATGTGTCATTATAGAACGCAGAAATGAACTGACTGAAGCTACTTTGAGACTTGTCTTACACATATATAAATCTTAGTGCTCATCTTTTTTTCTTTTTTGTAATTGCAATTCTTGAAGCAAAAATTAGATGAACATATTATTAAATACACAGACATTCTATGATCTAAGTATTGATCACCAGATAAGAATACAAAGGAGTTAGGGCGGGTGTGACCAGGCGATAGGGGATGCTTATTCCTCCTATGTACCTGATTCCATCTCTATTTTCTCTAGGTGTGTTTGTCACGTTGTTGTTTCATATATTGTTTCGAGGATTTACATTTGAGATTGATCAGTGTCTTTTTTTTTTCATTACGAAGTTCCCTTCCTTAACATATTAACATTGATTTATAAGCAAGAGGTTACAATCCTGAAACATGACTGATACAACATGAAAGCTTCATCATAAAAGGAAAGCGGTTTGTATAATCCTTCAGTCATATAAAGCATGAAGAAACAAGTGTTTTGTACAACATGTGTTTATGCAGATTTTTCTATATTTTCCTTTCCTGGGCTGATCAGCACACATGAATGTAACATGTGTCGTAAGTCAATTCCAAGCTGGTAGTGTCCATTGCCTCTAGTCTTCTAGTAAGGCCATTGCAAGATAAATTGTTCTTACTAATGTTGGAATGGTGATTTTCTGCTGGTTAGTTTGTCGTCTGCTGTTGCCTCTTTGGTCGTCTGCCTCCGCGACCTCTTTGAACTCCAGAGACAGACAAGCCTTCGGTCTCTGTTTTGAGGAGGATTGTAAATCAGCTCACTTCAGCTACAATCGCTTTGGATGCCATGGTAAAGATTTTTTATGAAGTTCGAATTAAGTATATCCGCATTTCGATCACCAAAGATCTTTTACTCTTAAAAAATTATTTTTCAATAATTAAGTGTCCAAAAAAGGTTTTTGTGCAAAGAATTTCATTTTATACATATATCTTACTGTGAATAGAGGTTCATGGGTTCGTAGAAATGGTCTTGTAAAAAGTAAACATTTGAAAACAGTAATTTCAGAAAAGTTAAATTTCTCTCGAGCTTCTCTTAGATAACAATGTTCCACTATGTCTTTCAGTTACTGAATTGCACCAACTCAAGCTTAGACAATTAACTATGAGCTGTACTCACTTAGAACTAAGAAAGACAGTTTTTAATAAATGCACGCCATTCTTATAGTTCTGAAGCTGGTATAAACTATGTGTGAATACAAGCCAAAATGTATGAAGTATACACAATATTTGATTCTTCCCGAACAAAATCGAGATTTATTTCTCAAACTTTTCAGGGCCTTCACAGTGGCATCTGGTGACGTCATGTTGGCATGAATGTAATGGACAATTTCAATCGCCAATCAACATTAAAACCCAAAACACAATAAACTGGCCGCATATTTCCTTACATTTTGTGAATCTGTGTACTAGAGTACCTGGGAAGATACGAAACAATGGTAGGGAAAAATATTTAAAAGTATACAGGTGTAGGGTATTCATTTTCAAAATGTATTTTCTATGGAACGCCATGGTTGCCTTATGTTAGATGATTTTATTATATGCTGTGGGTCTATTATTATATGCTGTGGTTCTATAATTATATGCTGTGGGTTTGTAATTATATGCTGTGATTCTATAATTATATGCTCTGGGTCTATTATTATATGCTGTGGAATTATTATTATATGCTGTGGGTCTATTATTATATGCTGTGGATCTATTATTATATGCTGTGGTTTCGTTATTATATGCTGTGGTTTCATTATTATATGCTGTGGATTTATAATTATATGCTGTGGATCTATTATATGCTATGGTTTCATAATTATACGCTGTGGGTTCATAATTATCTGCTGTGGGTGTATATTATATATTCTGTCGGTTTACTAGAAACCAGCTATTTGAATCCGGACTTCTCGTTTTTGGAGTTTACTTGCTCAAAATGGCGGCTACTGCAACAGGGCTTACCGTAATAGGAATGAGAGTACCAAATTTCCGGATGTGCACATGGCTTTAGTTGTGGTACCACAAATAAAGCCATCTGCTCATCCGGGGATTTCGTATTCTCATTGCTAACGCTCTCAAGCGCTAGCAACTACGCTAGCCCAAATTCCTTGAATACGCATGTTCGTCGTGTATTCTGGGAAATTTGTGAAAACAACCATAATTGTCATACTTCAAATCTCCCCCTTTTTTCTGAAGGAAAAGCCCGAGTCATTATCTGATTCTTCTAAACAAAGACAAGGGAGGTTTTTTTTGCTAGCGCTCGGCTTCACGGTCGGGCATTCTGGGAAAACTTCACACGGTCTAGCTGTCTGTGAAAACGACCATAGATAGACTGTACTATAACAATTTCGTTGTGTCATTAAGTAAACTGTTCTTTTCTGTTTGATTCTGAAGTTGTTTTATTTACAGTGTAGCTTACACTTTAGTGTAAACTACACAAGAAAAAAAATTAAAGTCATATTATGCAAAGATTCTAGACATCTACCTTCCTGGATAATGCCGTCAACCTCATAAAAAATCTCTTTTTTTTTCTTTTCAAAGTTTATTGAATTGGCAAGACACAATAAGCGATTGATACAATGCACTTCCACACTAATATAATTTTAATTCTATAAAATACACTTCACAAAAGATTATAACTCTAACTATCAGACTTCATACTCATTAAACATTAAAGACTTCAGCAAAATAAATTAGTTGACCACGAATTTCCTTTCTGTATTTAAAATTGCTACGGCGCTAGCTTTTTTTTAAAAAGATAAACTTGTTCCTATTACGGTTAGGCCCGTTGCAGTTGCCGCCATTTTTGAACAAGTAAACTCCAAAAACGAGAAGTCCGGATTCAAATAGCTGGTTTCTAATAAACCGACAGAATATATAACAATACCCCCACAGCATATAATTATGAACCCACAGCATATAATAATGAAACCACAGCATATAATAAAAGAATCACAGCATATAATTATGAACCCACAGCATATAATTATGAAACCACAGCATATAATAGATCCACAGCATATGATTATAAATCCACAGCATATAATATTGAAACCACAGCATATAATAATAGATCCACAGCATATAATTATGAACCCACAGCATATAATAATGAAACCACAGCATATAATAAAAGAACCACAACATATAATTATGAACCCACAGCATATAATTATGAAACCACAGCATATAATAATGAAACCACAGCATATAATACTGAAACTACAGCGTATAATAATGAAACCACGGCATATGATTATGAACCCACATCATATAATAATGAAACCACAGCATATAATAATAGATCCACAGCATATAAATATGAACTTACAGCATATAATAATGAACCCACAGCATATAATAACTAAACCACAGCATATAATAATAGATCCACAAGTTGTATAATCATGTGATGTGGGTCTATTATTATATGTTGTGGACCACAACATATAATAATAGACCCACAGCATATAATTATAAACCCACAGCATATAATAATAGATCCACAGCATATAATAATAGACGCACAGCATATAATTATAAAACCACAGCATATAATAAAAGAACCACAGCATATAATTATAGACCCACAGCATATAATTACAAACCCACAGCATATAATTATAGAACCACAGCATATAATAAAATCATCTAACATAAGGCAGCCATGGCGTTCCAAAATTTTCTCAAAGAATTTATTTAATGTCACGTTAAATAATATTGAGATAAGGACACTTAAAAATCCATTGAAACAAAACAACTCGGGGATAGGACAAACAAATAACTCTAAAACATCAGAGGTGGGATCAGATGCCGTGGAGAAGTATAAGTAAGCATCTCCTTGTTGTGTGCTCGTTGTCATGAAAGGGCAAATGAAACACTGGTACAACAATTATGTATGAAAACATCAGTCAGAATTCCTCTTAATCATAGACGTTTTTGCTGACAAGATCATACTGTATCGACCATAGAACTTGCAAAATGATGACTTCTGATAATTTATGTTGCTTCATCTCCTTGTACGTTAATCTGTTAATAGCTTGCCTCATATAAGAAATTGTTTTATAAACTTCGCACGCAGAGCAAGGTTTTGCATATCAAATGAAATAGGTTATATTGCTGCATAAGCAAGCTAGGAGGTTGACGATTAAAAAGTGTAAGTATTCACGTTTATATTACACTAATATTCTTTTTATGAAATGTGCTTATATGAAACAGATGTGTCAGACTATATACGTAGTAATGAACATGAATATTGAACATTGAAAAATTATCGACATATATAGGTACCCGATCCCGTTTTGGATTTTCCAGGGCTACTTAATATATGGATGTTTATAACAAGATGGCGAATCCACGTAACAGTTTAAGCTTTTTTTAAGGTCACTCCCCCCACTTCAGCACAGAATCACGTACTATTTTCCTCACAAACGTACCACAACGAGGGTCAGACAAGTATGTATTTGAGGAAATTCATTTTCACATCGGTACTGAAGAGAAACGGGGATCAGAACACTCTATTGATGGAGATTTCTATCCAATGGAGGTATACAATGCATTGAACAAATACATGTATGGTTGAAAAAATATGTTTTCTTTGATGTTACATGAAAAAGTGAACAGGATCAAAGCGGTGCATCTTTATTATTTTTTACATTTGAATTTTTCTTTTCATTCCAGGCTCACATCGTCTTCTTCAATGATAAATACAAAAATGTAGGCGACGCTAAGGACATGGAAGACGGACTGGTCGTCATTGGTATAATGGTCGAGGTAAATCTCTCATTGTGTTCTACTTTAGTTTATAGGTCAAAGAAATCAGTGCGAATACCATGCTTTTCATTTATATTTATTTTTAAAAATTCCTGCTTTTTAAAAGATATGGAGATAACGAACAGTATTCAAGTCTCAAAGTTCATAAAACAATACAAAATTGGAGCAGAGCAAACACGGATCTTCAAAACATCAGAGGTTGGATCAGGTGCTACGGATGAGTGAGCATCCCCTGCCGCCAGTCACACCCGCAGTGTGCGCCTTCTCATGATCGGGTAATAACGAAAAAAAAATGCCGACAATTCATTTTGTAAAGAATGGCCCAACAATAAGTATGAAAAACGTCAGTACGTTTGACTTAATGATAAATTGTATTTGCTGACAAGGTCATTGTATTGACCATTGAACTTACGAAATAATGACTATTTTTAACATTTTAAAGTTGAGCACAACAGAAAGCTTCCGTCAATTGAAACGCTAGTTGCAACATGGAACTACTCTATGTTAATACACCGATAAAAACTAGGATGTTAACTGGGGATGATTACGCTCCCTAGGAACCTGAATCCACCACTGGGATTTCCAGGGTTCCGTGTTTATGCCCTGCCTACAGCTTCCTCCTTCATTACCCGGTAATATTTAAGAGTTCTGATTATTAGTCGGAAAGAATGCAAAATAACTGAACTAGTTTGAGATTTTATTTATAGATTGATGATGACGAAATTAAAGAAAGTACAATGTTAAGTGAAGACCAAATCACTGAGGTAAGTACTGGGTCAATACATCAGAAATTGGTGATTAAAATGAGAGATTCGAATGATTTACTTAAATTCTGGCAATTGTAGAATAGGTTGGATTTTAATAAGACCTGTCCGTGTGTTGAGAAGAGTGACGAGTGCTACAGGAGGTACTGTTTCTGCCGACTTAAGAAGGCCGAGTTGATGAGTACATTGATGGAGAAGTATTTCTACACTGTCCGTCAGTACGTCCCACCCAAAAATCAGAGTAATGTACCGCCTCATGCCGCATATTCATCTCCTTGTTTTCTTTTATGTTATCTTCAGTACAATAAAATATCTCGGATTGAAAAGCTTTACACCGACATTAAAAACAAAGAATCCACGACGTCTGTAATTCTTAAACCATTTAAGAACATAATGGTGCTTTTTGTCAAAATAATTTATATTCCATGATTATCTGCTGTAGAATAAGTCATTTAAGTGCTTTAATATTCAAACAAACTTTCAAGTCATTTCATAGTACACCAAACATTATCCATGTGTCACTTTTGTAGCTAACCGTGAGTACATTTATCTGACTGAGTACATTTCACCTCTGGACGTGCTGCCATATGATTGGAGCTTCTACATGTATCAGGGCTCCCTCACCACGCCCCCCTGTAGCCATGACACTCAGTGGATCGTCATGCGCTGTCCAATCCGGATCTCCAGAGAGGTGCGTTTAAATTTTGGGATTTCAAACATATAATGGATATTCTGAAGTATTTTGGAATGGCACAAATAGAGATAACGAACAGTACTCATGATCAAAATTCCATAAAACGAGACAAAATAGGAGTAATTACGTTTTATAATAAACATGATGACTTCAACTTTTTCATCGTCAACCTCCCTTACCACCTGCGTATTGGGTTTATAGCTCTCAGTTGACTCAATACGCAAAGTCATGCACTACATTCGAACAATGCAAAGGGACGGATAATAAACAGTGATCAATCTTCGAAAGAAATCGCAATCTATCTTAAACTGTGATTACGGCAAAAAGCACAGTGTCTAGAAATTCGGAAATAAGCAAACAAGGGCATCTTAAAGAACGGCCGACAGAGGAAACTCTCTCCTCCATCACACTTTATCTCACCCCCAATATTTAGATAGGGTCATGTTCGCTCTACTCCAAAATTGCAGTGTCTCAGTGGACTTTAAAGTTAAATTACTGTTAAGATTTAGTTTTTAGTTGGAGCTTATCGAATATACAAGTAGCCGGTAAATCGGAAAATGAAACAGATACGGCAGACAGTATATTTTTATTTCAAGCTCACTGTGATATCGAGTCTCGAGTGTCCAGCTGAAACCCACAGCAAATGGTTTTCTTCTCTTGCAGAAATTTTCGACAAAATTCTGCTTCATTGGAAAACAAAATTAAGTCATCTCGTTTGTAATACGATTTATCTGCTGACTGGCTTTTCTCGTCTATTGTCAGTAAATATCCAAACGAATGGACAGAAATTAGACTGGTTTGTCATCATTTTTATCAACTAAACTAATGCTAAGTAGTAACCCATTTTAGTTTTAACACATTTGATCGTAGTCGATATACTCAATTGTCATTTACTGATCCAAATAACTATTTCAGGCTTTTGAGATGTATAGATTGGCTGTCTTTTACTGATCCAAATAACTATTTCAGGCCTTTGAGATGTATAAATTGGTTGTCTTTTACTGATCCAAATAACTATTTCAGGCCTTTGAGATGTATAGATTGGTTGTCTTTTACTAATCCACTATTTCAGGCCTTTGAGATGTATAGATTGGTTGTCTTTTACTAATCCACTATTTCAGGCCTTTGAGATGTATAGATTGGTTGTCTTTTACTAATCCACTATTTCAGGCCTTTGAGATGTATAGATTGGTTGTCTTTTACTAATCCACTATTTCAGGCCTTTCAGATGTATAGATTGGTTGTCTTTTACTAATCCACTATTTCAGGCCTTTGAGATGTATAGATTGGTTGTCTTTTACTAATCCACTATTTCAGGCTTTTGAGATGTATAGACTGGTTGTCTTTTACTAATCCACTATTTCAGGCCTTTGAGATGTATAGATTGGTTGTCTTTTACTAATCCACTATTTCAGGCCTTTGAGATGTATAGATTGGTTGTCTTTTACTGATCCAAATAACTATTTCAGGCCTTTGAGATGTATAGATTGGTTGTCTTTTACTAATCCACTATTTCAGGCCTTTGAGATGTATAGACTGGTTGTCTTTTACTAATCCACTATTTCAGGCCTTTGAGATGTATAGATTGGTTGTCTTTTACTGATCCAAATAACTATTTCAGGCCTTTGAGATGTATAGATTGGTTGTCTTTTACTAATCCACTATTTCAGGCCTTTGAGATGTATAGATTGGTTGTCTTTTACTGATACAAATAACTATTTCAGGCTTTTGAGATGTATAGATTGGTTGTCTTTTAATGATACAAATAACTATTTCAGGCTTTTGAGATGTATAGACTGGTTCAGGACGTACATAACGTACCACTTGTTCAGAATGGACTTCGACGCCCAACACAGAAGAACCGGGCACCTGTTTACAGAAACTTTCACTGGTCAGATCTAGGACAAGAGACGCAATACTGCCCGGATGAGGAATGAAACAGTACTGTCATACATTGCATCACTCAAAGATACTGAATAAAAATTAAATTTTGATGATTCTTTTTTTAATTGGGGTTTGTCTGCATTTAGAAATTAGCATGTCTTTCCTTGACTGACATCTTTCAGACTAATAATTGGTTTTAAACAAAATTTGACGACGGAATCTTCCGTACACCTTAATAGACGTAGGGCTCAGGGTGGGTGTGACCGACCAAGAGAGGATGCTCACTCGTCCTAGTCACCTGATTCTCCTTCTGGAGACTAGTGGGTCTCGTGTTTTATACCTTGTTCAAAGATTTATAATATTTGTCTGGCATCTTAAGTTCTCTCACTGTTCATTATCTTAACTTTTTTTAAGATTAAATCAATATAGGGAATCCAACATGTTATTTAATTTTGATCGATGGGAAGTAAAGTTTCTTTAAATCAATTCCTATCAGTAAGCACCTACGGTAATCCTTTCATAGGTATACTAAAGAAGAAGGTATGGTTTCCATACCAATTTTGCCCTGTGATTTTCTAAACAATAAAACTGGTGTAAAAGTTGAAAACTCATGCTTTTTAAATAATTGAAATTCAATGCAGAAAAATCATACAAGTCATTTTTCTCAAATGTGTTTTTAAATGCTAATTATGACGTCATAAACATGTGCATTTTCCCGTAATTTCTTAAAAAGTTGCAGAAGACACCAATTTTCAATGGAATTTTCTTTCAGATAACATTGTCCACAGGCATCGCCCACAAAGATTTTGAGATATGTGATTTGTTATTGAATTTTGCACAAAATATCAAAAAAAATAACGTGGGCGACGGCTGTGGACACTGTTTCTAAAGGAAAATCACCCTTAAAATGTGCCATTTTGATGCTTTTTCTGTTGAAAATAGAGAAATGCTTCACATTAATGACGTCATATTTGCAGAATGGTTAACCTTCATGCCATATTCTTTCCTGATTTATCAGAGTCATTTATTTAACTAATACTTAAGCAAGTTTCAAAACTTTTTGATGTCATTACATTTTAAGGGCGCAATAAAGCTAAAACCATACCTTCTTCTTTGTCTCCAAAGGAACACCTGCATTAATTAAGTTATCTTTATATGGAATTTTTAACAGCTCAGTGTTCATAAACGAGAGAACAACATATACATTTGGTGCAAATTTGGTTTTAGAGGTTTTAACATCCTATTCCTATTTTGTTTCAATTGAACGCAGTATTAATATACGTAGGTTTTTCCTATACAAATATACATGCATATACAAGAATATACTAAGTAAACTGATTATTTACAATTATTGCAATATTTTTCAATGTATCTGAGACCTTTTGGTATATATTTAAACAGACAGAGCATAAATCAAAACAAAAATCGTCTAAAATGAAGAATAGTATCTATCGACATAAGGCATAAAATAAGTGACACTTTTTATGACCATTCCCTAAGATAAATTAAAGTCTAGCTATAGCTTTTTGTCATAGGCAGCTGCTTTTTCAATAGAAATGGAACTCGTTAACTTACCTACATTGTCGTTTGTTATTAGCAAAATTATTTTATTGAAATACTTTTTGATTTAATACCCGCAGAACTAGGATGGTTGAGTTTCTGATAGACAAAAATTTAACTACATGTATGAAGATTTTCGAGATCGTCTCTAACAATGCGACGGAATTCCAACGGGTATTCATTGTCCTTTGATACTGTGCAAGCAGATTTATTTTGAAGCATTTTTTCCCGTTTTTTCCCTATCATGACAAGGAGCACACAGCGGGTGTGACCGGTCGACATGGGATGCTCACTCCTCCATGGTACCTGATCCCTATTCTGATATTTCGGAGGTCCGTGTTTGCTCTGCTCCTATTTTGTATTGTTTATTGGATTTTGAGCTTGAATACTGTTCGTTACCTCTATATATTTCATTGAAAAACTTCTACATGGAAAGAAGAAGCCTTTTGCTGAAACCTTCAATTTAGCATATATTTATATGTATAGAAGACAATTTATCAATTAGAAAAATCTCTTTCATTTCTAAGTTGATTAGATTTATCTCTTTGATTTTGAATAAAACAAGAGGCCAAAGGGCCTTGAATCGCTCTTCTGATAAATTATACAATCTATCCTAAGACCCAAGATGCATCAACTGACAAAGTTTGATGATTCTTAGCCAGTTAGGGCTGAAGATATTTAAATGTAACTATAAAATACTATAAGTAGGTCATGGTGACCTACTTTTTGATTGAAATTTTCTGAGGACACAAGATGCATTAATTGACAAAGATTGATGATTTTAAGCCAATAAGTACTTGAGATATTCAAAAGTGGGTCACAGTGACCTACTTATTGGTCAACATTCTTCGAAAACCCAACGCGCATAAACTGACAAAGTTTGACAATTCTAAGCCAATAAGTATACTCTAGAATGCTTAAATATAGCCATAAATGTCACAAGTAGGTCACTGTGACCTATATTTTGATCATCATTCTCCGAGAACCCAAAATGCATCAAATAACAAAGTTTGATGGTTTTAAACCAACAAGTACCCGAAATACCTAAATATAGTCATAAAATGACAAAAGTAGGTCACTGTGACCTACTTTTTGACCTACTTTTTGGTCGACATTCTCCGAAAACCCAAGATGCATCTACTGACAAAGTTTGATGATTCTAAGCCAATCAGTACCTGAGATATTCAAAAGTGGGTCACCGTGACCTACTTTTTGGTCAACATGCTCCAAAAACCTAATTGCATCAAATGACAAAATTTGATGATTCTAAACCAATTAGTACCTGAGATACATAAAACTAGCCATAAAATGTCAAAAATAGGTCACTGTGACCTACTTTTTGGTCGACGTGCTATGAAAACCAAAGATGCATCAAATGACAAAGTTTGATGATTCTAAGCCAATAAGTACCTGAGATACTAAAATATAGCCATAAAATGTCAGAAGTAGGTCACTGTGACCTACCTTTTGGTCGTTAATCTCCGAAAACCCAAGATACATCAACTGACAAATTTTAATGATTCTAAGCCAATTAGTACCCGATATACTTAATTCTAGCCAAAAAATGTCGAAAGTAGGTCACAGTGACCTACTTTTTGGTCGACATTTTCTGAAGACCAAAGATGCATCAACTGACAAAATTTGATGATCATAGATCTAATAGTATTCAAAATATGCCTTTTAAACAATTTGAAAACAAATGCCTGCAAAGTTCAAAAAGTAGGTCACAGTGACCTACTTTTTGATAAATAATTTAAGGCCTCTAGATGCATCAACTTACAAGATTTGGTGATTCTAAACCTCTCGGTGTCTGAAGTAATGGGATTAAATGTTTTAGAAAAGATTAGCCATAAAATTCAAAAAGTAGGTCACAATGACCTACTTTTAAGTTGATATTGTTTGTGGGCCCAAGATGCACCAACTGACAAAGTTTTATGATCATAGGCCTTAAAGTGTCCAAAATATGCCTCCAAATCAATTTGAAAACAAAAGTCCGTAAAATTTAAAAAGTAGGTCACCGTGACCTACTTTTGTATTAACATGATGTCAAGTCCTGAGATGCATCAACTTACACGATTTGATGATCCTAGTCATTATAGTAAGCAAAATATCAACGTTTTTATTAAGTGTAAATTTTGGTCAACTTTGAAGTGACCTTGAGACCACGCCCTTTGCCCCAGGGTCATGCCTTGAACAATTTTCAATCTTCAACATATCCTGACCCTTGTATGTAAGTTTGGTAAAAATCTGCCTGGTGGTTCTGGAGAAGATGATTTTTTAGCAACCAGTACTTTTGGTTTTATTTTCGTGATTATCTCCCCTTGTTTTAGGGTCCCACCCCTAATTTTAGTACAAATGGTAGCCCTTGGGCCAAGGATACCCTGTGACAAATTTGACAATAATTGGCCAAAGGGTTCTTGAGTTATGGCCCATATTCTAAAAAGTTAACGCACACCGCACAAGTGGACATAGCATTAGCTCTTTGAGCCTTTGGCTCAGAAGAGCTAAAAATACTGGAGTTTGACACAACTCTGAAAAAGTTGAAAAATGCATATAACAAATATTATGGAATAAAATCGTAGAATTTTCTAATTATTCATCCATTCATTTCGAGTACATGTATGTATCCTTTATAAGTTATAACCATTTATTACTACATGTATTATAGATTTTCGGATGAAATTAATTTTCGTTGTTTTCTTAAATTCTTTTACACAGAGATCTGATAGTCATTGTTGAAATAATAAGTCAAAAACCACAAAATATTGTTTTTCAATAAACATTTTCATCTAATATGTTACAAATGAAATTAAAATAGCAGTAAAATTACTAACAATGGCACATAAAAGTTGTACAAAAATAAACAAACAAACAAAAACAATGGATTGTTCAAGCATTTTCAAATGTTTTACGTACATTACTGTTAAA